TGGTGCAGGGAGAGCCCAGAATAAGAAAGGCCGGCTTGTGACATGGGTTTGGAGGACATGAAGAAATGTCCTTTCTTCTGCTGAGCATGGTGCCACAGAGCCAGACTGGGTGGGTACGCTTTCCAGCACTGCATCCCTCAGACTCCATCTCCCAGATTCCTTGAGGAGGTCCCGAGTCCGAATTCTACAGAGCAAAGGAGGGCAGGAGGAGGGCTGATCCAGAAGGTTCCAAGCTGGAAATTCCAAACCTGTTTCCCCTCCAGCTAGCTGGCCCCACCACGGCCACTGCCTCACACCTTGTTCAAACATGCTTTAAATCAAATTATTCTCAGATCCCGAATGGGGACACAAGGACAGAGTGCTAATCCGCCCAGCGTGCAGGGTGACCTCAGGAAGGCCCTCTCAGCTGTCACTTTACAGATGAGAAACCAAGGCACGGAGAAGCAGCAGGGCCACCCTGTGCGGGCTCACCAGGTCAGGGCCGGACAGGTCGCAGGGTCAGGGCTTCAGGTCCTGGGCTGCTCCTGTCAGTCTTGCTCTGTACCGCACCCCTCCCTGTCTCTGTGCCCTTTTATCCTGCTTTCCTACTTCCCTTCTCCCTACTGTTTTCCTTCCTTTTTTTTTTTCTTGCTCAAAGATTCCAGCGGCTCTCAGTTGGGGGTGATACACCAATGGGACATGCAGCCCTGTCCAAAGGCAACTTTGGTGTCACACTCACATAGGAATGATATCAGGAACTTCCAAATGATATTAGGGAAATATGCTAGCTCCCAACCTGCCAGATGTCTGATACACTGAGTTCGTACTCCCCAAAAATGAATTCTGAGGAACAGAGGCTAAGAGTAGGAAGTTTTATGGAGGGAAAGAGAACTGCTGTCCAGGGGGGCCAAAGGGGACCCAGAAAGCAGAGCAAATCACTAGGTGGGTATAAGGCGGGACAAAACCGTGATCAACCAATCAGATTACAAGTATGGTCGCCTAGGTAACATCGATCCAATGGGGAAGCAGGTCACATGGCAAGCGCACACGGAAAGAACAGGATTTTTCCTGGAGGGGGCGGGCCCTGGAGATCCTGGTCCCCCACCCAGTGATTGATGCCTATTTAGAATATTGATCATTTTTTTATGTCTCAGGGGACGTATGTAGACGCTGTCATCCCATCTTTTTTTTTTTTTTTTCGTCTTTTTCATCGGTACCGGGGATCGAACTCACGACCACACACTTGCAAGGCAGGTGCTTATGCCGCTGAGCTGAATCCCCAGCCCCTGCATCTTTGTTTTGAGGCCTCCATTCCCAGCTGCTCTGTGTTCTTACCTCCTCCACTAACTTCCCCCAGGGCCTCGCGCTGCCCGGTGCCTGTATTTCTACCTAACTTAGCCGTCCATAATAATGCTGAGAGCAGGTTGTGCCTCCTGGTGGAGCAGAGGGCCGGATGCTGCCTAGGGCATGCTAGAGCCCCCAGGACCACAAATATATATTTGTTCAGCCACAAATATATCAGCACCGCAGAGGTTGAGAGAGACGCCTGTCATCACAGGAGGAGACACGGCTTTTGGCGGGCACTATGCTTGGAGCTGGACCTGCCACATGGCATTGCGCTGTTGTCGTTGTCTGTGGTGTTGCTGTCGGTCCTGCTGCCCTGGCAAGTGTGCGTTATTCACCAGGCACAGAGAACAAACACCTTGAGCCTCAATTCCGAGGCTGATTAACCTCCCAGGAATCCACCCACTTCCTCCCACGGGGAAGGCCCTGCAGTCCACAAAGCAGTGACACCTCTTTTCTGCGGACAGTCTCCTCTGAGTGTGGCTCTCTCGGTGATGGGAAGGTGCCGAAACTCTTCCTTTCCAAATGCGGGCAGGATTTTAGGAGAGGGAAAGAAAAAGACAGAAAGAAAAGGCGTCTAGGAAACGCCAATACACCCCCACCCACAAGGCACCGCTTACAAGCTGAAGAATCTCAGGCCTCAAAAACAACTGAAGATGGATGGCTTTGCCCAGCTGCCTTTCCCCCTTCTACCCACCACGCTGAACAAAGAGCAGGCCTGGAAGGAACGCGCCTGGCATATTTAACAGCTCTGTGGAAGGTGAAGGGGAGCCAGGCTGGTCACGCGGTGGGGGGTCTGCTCGACCTCTAAAAAAACAGCGCTAAAAATAGCCCTACCACTAGTCATTTACAAATTCAAAAGGCTGTTTAGACAGCCCTGCGATCAGACTGCAGCTGATACAGCGCTTCTCCCCAGTGATTAAACACAGCCTGATTTTTAAGTACCAAACAGCTGCCTCCAGGTTGGGCTAAGACACCACTCCAAGTCCGTTTTGATTGGCACGCCAGGGCGTCCTAATCACAGCTCCCATCCTCAGCTTTGAAACTCAATGACATTCAGGCTGCGGGAAAGGGCAATGGGGGGCCGAGGACCACTTTAATAAAAGAGCCTCCCGCTCAGCCACTGTCCCCAAACCAAAGTGTGTTAGCCGGGCAGCTGGGCGTCAGCAGGCCTAAAAGGCAAAGGAGGAGTCAAAATACCATGTTTTGTCAGTTATAGTTAAGTAAAAAATAAAGGCCTCGGGGTATAATACATGTATAAGCATTTGTTAGTCCCTAAAACATAGGGCCTCTGTTTCTTTCCTGTTTTAATTTTAATTTTATTTTGAGACAGGGTCTCACTATGCAGTGAAGGCCCTCAACTCACTACCTAGTGCAGGCTGGCCTCGAACTTGTAGCAATCCTCCTGCCTCAGCCTCCCAAGTACCAGGATTATACCATGCACAGCTAGTGCCTCTGTTTCAAAGACATACAGAGTTCCTGGTTGCCTCAGCCTACAGCCCAAGAATATCAGGAGAGGAATGTTTTTTAAATACCCTCTGGGGCCACAGATACAGCTCAGCGGCCTTGTTGGCAAGTGTAAGGTCATGAGTTCGATTCTTGGTACCAAAAAAAAAGATCTCAAAAAACAAAAAATCCTCCTACCTGGTGTTGGGACCTGGATTAAATTAAGAATTTATCTTTCATAAACTGCTTACATAACTAAGACCCATCAATCAGGGAGCACTACTGACCGTCTAACAGGGACAGAATAACATCTTGCAATTCAAGTTCAGAACCCACTGTAATGACCCCAGTCCTCTGGACCCCGGGAATAACTCATGTGCATGAAGAGGCCAGGGTGATTCTCCTAACCGTGATCAAATTCTTTCATCAAGTTCATAAAAGGATGGAGGAGGTTGGCAGGGCAGGTTCCTTCCAGTTTCCCAGCGACTACACTCGCCCTGCCCGGGAGGGAGGGCAGCAGAGGAAGCCGCCCAGGACGGCCAGGCCAAGCTCCAGGTGGGTTCCCCGAAAGCTCCTGCTTGGGAGGCTCACTGGGAACCCAGTGGGCAGCGGCGGGCTGGGGGTGGTCTCCATGGAAGCCAGGCGGTCTGGTGCCCAGGAATGTGTGCCATGTCCCTGAATTAATTTAGGGAGAAAAGAGGATGCCTGGGCTTCCTTTGAGGGAGGATGGAGATGTCCTAAAATTAGATGATGAAAGCGCTTGCCTGGTAAGCGTGAGGTCGTGAGTTCAATCCCTGGTACCAAATATAAATAAATAAAATAAAATAAAAGTAGACAGTGGTGGTGGTTATGCAGTTCAGTGATGGGAATTTATCACGAAAGGTGAATTAGGGGTTGAGGGTCTTGCTCGGGGCTCAAACCCTTACCTAGCATGCACAAGGCCCTGGACTGTTTAAAAGAACAGTTTTTAAAAAAATAACCACTATGTGCTTTTTTCTTAAGCTAATGGTGCATTTTCTGTGTGTAAACTAAATTTCAGGCAGGCCTCTATTTAAAAAAGAAAATAGGTGAAGTCATACATAAAGTTACTCTAGATAAATTTTTCCCTTTTTGGGGAGGTTTGCACTAAAAGACGCTGGATTCAAATCCTGCCTCTGCTTTTTTGTGGATGTGGGAATCTGGACACAAACTTAGACTTCTCAAATCTCAACTGTCCCAGCCATAAAATGTGGGTACTGAAAGTGTCCTCTGCTCTTTGGGGTACCCTGAGGACTGAGGCTGTCTATATACAGAGCAGACACAGGGAAGGGCTCGCTACAGAAGAAAATGAGGGAAACCAATTATTTGTAAGAAGCTGGACAAGTTCAACTCACAGGTGCCTAAGTGGGCTGGGCTGGAAACACAAGGACAGGACTCGGTGACTCTTTCTGGAGAGCGCATTGACCTGAATCCTGGCCTGGGCAGGTGACCCAGAGCTGTCAGACCAAAAAAAAAAGCTGGCATTTATTGAGCACTTACTATAGGCGAAGCCTCGCCTCTGTGCAGTATTTCACGGAGTCTTTATTTCAACCCCAGGAAGCGGGGATGACCACATCCCCAGGTTACCACGGAGGAAACAGATGTAGAAGTGGAGCCGCTTGTACAGAACCCCAGAGACAGCAAAGCTGATTCAGATCCAGCAGCCTGAAACTGAGCAGGGCCAGGTCTGACGCCTACCAGCTCAAGAGAGTCAGTAGTTAAACATCCAGGAATTCTGATTATTATACAAGAATTTCAGAAGCAGATTTTATTAAACCACTGGAGCAACTGTGGTACAAGTTAGCCGTGAGGCGAGCATGTACATGCGGAGGTCAGCGGCTGTTCCCAGCGGGTACTCTCTCCCTTCCTGGTCAGCCGGGCTCCCTGCATGTCACTGATTCCCACACAAGGAGGGGACACCTGGGTCCCTCTTCCTGCACACTGATAAAACCATCAAAATCAAACAGACCTATGAGGTTAAACCTGTTATTTGCATCAGTGGTGATCAAAATAGCCTCCAGGGTGATGAACCTGGGGGTCCACATGGACCCCAGAGCTTCGGAGTGCCCACAGGCCCCTTTGACTGGAAAGGCAGCAGCCCCCAGGGTATGTGGGCGGGAAAGAGGGTCTATTTAAAGACACCCGGCATCTCCACGGCAACGGGAAGCAGCTGTCCCACGAGCTTTAGGGAGGGGACCCCTTCCTTCCTCGGACTGTGATGCCACAGATTCAGCAGCCCCCTGGGGAGTAGGCGAATGCTTTTTGCAGTTTCCGCAGGGAGCCGGTCTGGAGGTGGAGACTACGTGGGTGTTGATCTCAAGCTAGCAAACTTCAAAGTAGTGTCTGACAGCCCAGGGCTCTGCAGAAGAGACACGCCATGACTGTTCCATGAATGAATGAGTGGACGGAAGAGGACCGCCTGTGCGTGAAGTGCAAAACAGTCCTCAGGGCTGCGGATGAAGGTGGGAAACGGTACGGAGAGGTCTCTCAAAAACTAAAAGAACTACCATGTGTCCACATTCCACGCTGGGCCCAGAGGGCAAGAGGGCAGTCGGCGGGTGGAAGAGGTGCGGTCCTCGGGACTCGGTCCCCCTGCATCTCTCTGCTGCAGCATCCTTGGGTGCAGGAGAGAAATGGAGACGGCCGGGTGTCCCTCGGGGGTGAATGGGTAAAGGGAGCATGGTGTATATGGCGACAGCAGAGCCCCAGGCTGCCACAGGAGAATGAACTGCTGTTATCTGGGGCGACTGCAGTGATCCTGAAGGACATTTTGTTAAGTGAAACGAGCCAGGTACAAAGAGACAAACACTGCAGGTTCTCACTCACGTGTGTCAGGAGGGGGCAGAATGGGGTCACCAGAGGCTGGGAAGGAGGAGCCTGAGTGGAGAGAGAAGAGGGGGGTTTGGGGTGCAAACAGGGACAGAGGTGGGGTGAGTTCCAGTGTCCCATGGCACAATGGGGTGACTGTGGCTCGTGACTGTATTGTGTGTTCCCAAAGAGCTAGGAACGAAGGATTCTGCGTGCGCCCCACACAGAGAAAGGCCAGGCCTAGAGGGGACCGGGGCTCATTACCCCGATTTGATCATAACACACTGCATGCAGGGTGGAACTATCACAGGGTACCACATCAATATGTACAATTACACCTCAATTCGGGCACTGTGTGGCCAGTCAAGTTCAGGGGGCCCAGTGAAGGGCTTCCCTGCACTGCAGCTCCCTTACCCCTCTCTGCCCGGTGCTGGCCAGGCGTGTGACTCACCCTGCCTGGGGGGGACTGCTGCAGTGTGGATGCCGAGCGTCCCCAGAGGCTCATCTGTGGAAGCCCTTGTCCCCAGGGTGGCAGATGCACTAGAAGGTCAAGGAGGGGTCCTTTGGAGGAACCCCCTAAAGGGGACCGTGGGGTCCTTAGCCCTTCCCCTTTTTATTTCTCTCGGGGAGCCGTGTGCTCCACCAATTGCTCCCACCATAAGGCCGAAAGTCTGGTCTTGGACTGCAACCTCCAAAGCCATAAGCTAAATAAACCTTTTCTCTTTGTAAGCTTATTATCCCAAGTATTTTGTTTCAGTAATGGAAAGCCGACAGATGCAGGATACAGTAACTCAAGCAGAGCTTGAAAAACATGTAGGCTACTCACTGTTTCAGGGCCATGGCCACCACCATGAGAACGTCTCCCACTGTCCAGAATACAGAGATAAGGGAGGAGCATTTAGGTACCTGGCAGAGGCCTGGCTAGACCACCAGTTCCCAAGGGACCAACTAGACAAGCAGACTCACGAACAGTGAAACTGCCCAGCTTAAAACTTCAGAGAAATAAGCTTTGAAAATTGTTTTGCTTTTCACTTTTTCAAAATTTTCTGAAATATTGGTGGGTTTTTTTTGTTGTTGTTGCTGTTGTTTTGTTTTGCTTTTTGTACCAGGGATTGAACTCATGACCTTGTGCTTGCCAGGCAGGCACTTATGCTGCTGAACTAAACTTCCAGCCCAAATATTGGTTTCTTAAAAATAAATTTCATTGTGTATATTCAAAGTTTTCAACACAATGCTATGGAATACATAAAAACAATAGATGGTTTAAAGGACCATTTAAATGGCCAAGGCTGGGGCTGTTCGTCATGCAGCATAACTACCTGATACAAACTGCCTGCTTTGCAGTTGTTCACAGAGTTCAGGTGGGCCTGTTTCTTTCTCCCCTCAGAATGTCCACCTCATGGAGAATCTGATACAGCATGTTTCTTACTGGAATACTCAGGTAAAAGATCATTTTGCATGGGGACTGAAGAATTCTGTCTTCCGCTAAGTGAATAAAAACATTACTGAACGTTTCTGCTCTCGGGGAATATGGTCCCCATGGGTGAGAAAGACAATCAGCACGATCTGAAGGAACAAAGGCCTTCATTTCCTTTCCTGCTTTGAAAGATGCGTTTTGCCTGGATCAGTGCTCATCTGTCCTCCCCGCCCACCCGGTGCCTGACAGCCAGACCTGGGACATCATCTGGCCTGGAGCCGACAATGAAGAAGGTATTTGGGCCGTGCTCTTCTTATGAGATTTCTTTTCCAGGTGTGGCCTAAAATCTCAGGCTACTCAGAATCTACTCTGCTAAGCACTGGTGGAATCCAAAATAGGGTTTTCAGGCTTTCCCAGCCATGGTAGTGAAGTGGTTTACAATCTCCCTACTCAAACACAGCCATTGCCAAAGGATTCTCTGGGCAGTGGTTACAAGTGCTGAGCCCCTGCCCAGCATCAGAACCTGCATCTAGGCTCACGGCATGTGATGGCTGCCCATGCATAAGTGGAGGCTCTCCCTCCGAGGAACCTGAGGCCCAGGGCACAAGGGCACCCCAGCTGTTGGTGTTATAAAGGACACTGTCCCCCAGCAAGAGTGCAGGGCAGGTCCTCCACCCCATCGCATGTGCACAACCAGGCTTGTGGGAGTCCCGCTGTCCGAACCCACTCCTGAGTCTTGTGGTCTGGGATGCCGCACTTTGTACCCCTAAAGGGCTGCACAGACCCAGAGGGCTCACTCCTGAGAAGCCCTCTGTCCTGTCCCAAGATTAAGGGTCTCAGCTGCTCCCCTCTGATCTCAACAGGAAAGCCCCAGGCTGAGAAGAGGAGAGCTCTAAGCAATCTCGGTGGCAATCATTAACCCAGTTTATTAACACAGCACAAGAATCCTAGGGATATTTTAAACTTTTAAAATATCCTTGCAGGCTAATGGCAGTGAAAACTAAGCATTTTTAAAAAGCAAAAAAGCCCTGTAGCAAGAGTTCAATTCAAACCAAAATGCTCTCTGAATTTTAACAATCCTATTTTAAGATCTTAATGAGCCCTGGAAATCCTGTTAATTTAAATTACCGGCCACACACAGACAACTTCCCTGAAATAATTCACACCTTCAATCATCTCAGGGAATATTCTCTCCCCCCAAAATTATCTATAATGTATAGATGAGGTTGTTTGCTGCTTCTGCTGACACATGAGTTTTCGGGAACTCTCTAAACTTTGGAATGAAAAGACAAACCCCCCAGGCAGTGTTTCCACGTGATCTTTTTTGGTCCCTGTTCACAGTAACCTTTTCCAAAAAGAGCCAGTGAGGCTGAAGGTGATTCCAATTATTCAGCTGCCAGCGTTGTAAAGACAAAGCTCTGCTGCGACAGATAGGACGGGTTTAGAGCAGCGTTTCAGTCATTTCCTTTTAGAAGAAAAAAAACAGTCTTGTTTGAAAGGTGTTCTGGAACAGGAGCTGCTGGGAGGTTAATTAGAGGAGGAGGGGACTGAGGGAACCCCTGGCGCGTGCCTCTCTCTCCCTCTTTCTCTTTATCTCTCTCTGCAGGGGGATGAGCCTCTCCTAAGGCCCAGCCTGCTAACTTCAGAACGGATCAGGTGGGCCCCTGCCTTTGGGATGGGCCACTGTAGGTAATATAGGAGTGACGTCAGCCCTCCAGAGGATGCTGGGAAACTACCGACTCCAGCCTGCCGGATGTCAGAGACGTGGAGTTCGAGCTTCCCAGAACCAGAGAAGGAACTCTGAGGGACCGTGGAGGTTAAGTGTGGGAATATTTATTCAGAGAGACAGGAAGGCGGGGTGGTAGGGTGGTGGTGGGGTTAAGTGGGTTGCCCACGAGCCCACTTCACAGAGGAAGTTTTATAGAGCAAAATCACGAGGTGGGTACCACGCAGGCTAAAGCTATGATCAACTCGTAAGAGTATAAATGTGGCCGCTTAGATAATATCGATCCAGTGGGGAGCAGGCCATGAGCAGGAGTTCACGGGAGAACAGAGAGCTTTTCGGGAAGAGATGGTCGGGGGCTTGGTCACCCACCGAGGTGACTGGCGTCTGTCTGGACCTCACTGGACCAGGCGTTAGTTACCACTGCTTATCTTATCCCCGGCAGGATCATGTAGGCCTGATCATTTCCTCTGTATCTTGAGGCCTGGCCTCCACTAGATGCGCCTCTGGCCTCAGGTGTACCGTGTTTTCGGCTTCCGCTTGATTCTCTCCAGGGCCCTGTCTGACTGCTTGTGATATTTCCATCTAACTCAGCTGTCTGTAACAGAAGTATCTGCCAAAGGGACCGAATCACACCATTCTTTTCTTGTTCTGGGTACTGGAGAGAACTTTTCCCCACATCTCTCAGTCTTAGGAGTGACCAGCATTGACCTCACCTCTGACCCCAAAGGGAAGGACAGACGCCTGTCCGCAAACTCCAAGGACACAGTGATGGGCACAGCTGAGCGAGGGAGATTGACAAGGTCTTCCTGAGTCCTGGATCCAGCCATACCTGAAGCCTCTAGACTCCTAAGAATTAATAAATTCCCCTTGTTTGGTTTTGTGCTTGCCCAGTTTTGGATTGAGTTTCTGCTGCTTGCAACCAAACAGAACTGGCTACTTCATTCCATTTGGAATCCCTCAGGGGTAAAGGAATCACCAAATTCCTCTGCCCCTCCTCAAAAAACACACAAGAGCTCATCCAGTCCTCCAGTGCAGCTCCACATACCTGTGGGTGCCAGTGCCCTGCTCTTTTATAAAAGTCCACAGGCTTAGTAAAGTTTCCCGGGGACAGGAGTCTGCATCCTCCGCCCATAGCTGGTCTGAGAACACTCCAGATCCTAAAGAGGCAACATACGTCTGTAGGTGGCTTGGGAAACAGTCTTCTGCCTGAAGGAGGAAAAAATCCACCAACAAAACCAAAATCCTAATATTAGATTTCATAGGCTACCAAGTAAACTTTCTCTCTTATAGAACAAATTGTTTCTATAGAAACCAATGCCTTTCTAGCAGCTCAATTCCTATCAGAGTCTCCGTGGGAAGAGATTGGGGAAATTAGGGAAGCATAGAAAAAGGCAAATGCCTGCTGGGGGTCTCCCCACGCCTCCACCCCAGACCCACAGAGGGCAAACGCCACTCTCCTCCCAGAGCCCCAGCACCCGGGGTGACTCTGGCAGCCCTGGGGGATGCAGTTCCAGCCAGGTCGCCTCTGGTCACCCAAGCAACACATTCCTCAAGTTACTGGAGCCTAATTCAGGGTGGCAACTTTTACTCTGAGTCACCTTCTGGGGGTCGGGGGCTCCCCAGGGCCAGAGTGGGCGGAAGTGTACGCAAACCCCCATGCTAAGTGCTGGCCACCTTGCCTGTGCTTGGACATCCGGAGAAAACCCTTTCACCTGGAGAAACCCAAGCGCACACGTTGCAAGAAGACTCCATGAGGCTGCCCAGCTGTCAGGGAGCCCCGCTAGTGAATACTCTGAATACTCTCCTCTCTCTCCCCAAGAGTGGGCGGCGGGATGCCCAGTTGCGGTCACTCTCTTTCTCCAATGCTCTGTGTCTGGAATCTTCTGCCTGGAGTCTGACGTCTGCCTGGAGAAGGGCGGAATCCCCACCAGCTCTCACCAAGGATGCAGCCCCGGCCGGGTGGACAGAGAGGGAAGCCAGGAAGCTGAGGTCGCAGTCATCGAAACAAGAACCTGACAGCCCAAGCGGCCACGGCCTTGCTGCGAGCTGAGGACGACATGCCCATCCGTGGAGTGGGGTGACAGGAGGTGTGAATGGGGAGCCCCACTCCACAGGAGCCTCACCATCCCGCAGGGGCCAGAGGATCCAGCGGTCCAGGGAAACTGAGTGTGTGGGAGGCGGCGGGGGCATGGACTGCACTGGAGGGGTTCGACTCTGTCTCAGCCTTGGGGCTGCACCCCTGTGTGCCCCCTGGGCCTCCTCCAGCCACGGGTGTGCTGAGGCGGGGTCCCCTGTGGGGCTGCAGCCCCCGACCCCCACTCCCGTGGGGTTGGACGGTGTAGAAGCCAATGGAGAAGGCTCAGGACAAGCAGGAGGAGCTCGTGAGATGTCGGGCTGCTCCCCTTCACCTCCTCCCGCACCTCCGAGGGGGTCGAGCCCTCACCCCACCCCGCCCCCTGAGAGGCAGGAGCCTCCTCCCCAGCTCCCTGCTTCCGCTCACAGACCACAGCCAGCAAATCTTCCGTGCACAGCTAGAGGGGCCTGTTGGATTGTTTTGTTTTGTTTTTTGAGACAGGATCTTGCTGTGTAGCTCAGGCTGGCTTCTAACTGAGAGAGATCCTCTTGTCTCAGCCTCGCAAGTGCTGGGATTATTGGCATGCACCACCACACCTGGCTCTGAGGAGTGTTTTTTCCCCCAGAGGAATGTTTTTGAAGCACGAGTCAAATCATGCCACTTTGTCATACTTTTCCTATGGCTCCCAGGTCCTTCAGAATAAAAGTTGGAGGTCTAATAGTGACCTACAAGGTCCTCAGTGACCTGCCCCCACCCTGCCACCAGCTGCTGGCCACACTGCTCCCTTGATGTTCTTCAGGCACTTTAGGCACGTGCCTGCCACAGGGCTTTTGCATCACCCACCCTGTGGATGCTCAAATGGCCAGCTCCAAGGCCATCCTGCAGCTGTGCTCCCTAGGACAGGATCCTTGTGCCACCTTCCTTTGGCTACTCAGTATAAACTGCCAGCACCCACTCCCAGGACTTAGCCTTCCTCCCCCACTAGGAGACAAACTCCAGGACAGCAGGGAGTGTTTCCCAAAGGAGCACTGAGCACAGAGCAGACTGTCCACAACCTGTGAGGGAAGACAGAGAGATAGGGTGAGCCGGGAGCAGGGGTGGGGCACAAGCTCCAACCCCAGGCTCCAGGCTCAGGTACACACAGCACCTCCTGTGTGGGCGCCCGCCATGGGGCAGGCGGAAGGTGCTGAGGTCCTGGTGAACCAGGTGGACGTAGACTTTTATATAGAAGAGCAAAGGACAGAGACAAGACATTTCGTGTCCCCTTTTAGCTAAGCTGTGGCTTTGTGGCCAAATTCAGTGTTGTACAGGAACTATCAGAATGAATCTTAAAGAAGGGGCTGGAGCTGGGAAATGGGCTCATTTTGCTCTTTGCCCTTTCTTCCTTTCTGATCTCTGGAATACAGACCTAATGGCTAATGCTCCAGCAGTTATTTTGGGCCATGAGGCAAACTTGTAGGAGGTGGTGGTGGAACAGAAGCTCCAGCTACTTGAAGACCTGGAACTTGTTAGTACTGGTTAGTACCAGACTGGCTACTTCTGGAACTTTTAGAGGAGAGAAAATACAGTGCCATTTGATACACAACAGGGCTGTGTCAGGACTTTCATAGATCTTGGGCATTTTTGCCTTCACGAATGCCTTCATCTGTGGGAGAAAAAACATTTAACATTACATTGTTATGGCTGTATTAGCATAAAGGCTAAAACACTCCAAGCTGGATTTGTTATGTATTGGCTATTATTGCATTCATGACTTGCCTTCTGATTCTAAAAGAAACTAAAATGTTTTCCACTTTTGTGAGCCTTTGTAGTGTCACAGGGCCCAGGCTTTGGCTTCCTCCTGGTTTTGGAGAAGCCGAGAGCCATGCACAGGTCCCGAAACACCCCACCCTGCCTGCGTTCAGGAGGTGGAAATCAAGGCCGAACACACTAAGTAATGCCTAGACTTGGAGCTTGGTCTAGCTCAACCATAAGGACTAAATTCTTAACTTCTTAGCTAGAAAAGGAGCTATTTTTAGCACAGGAAGGTGATTCTTGGTAGGCTCTTATTATCATTTTTATTAATGCAAACAGCTGCGTGCCAAAGAAAAATAATATTGATGGATGTAGCAACCGACCAGATCAGCAAGCAGGCCTCCGGCCAGCACCTTTGCAATGATGAGCCCGTCTCGTCTCGGCAGGAAAGGTTTTAAATCCCCATCTTTTTCAGGGCTGGATTTACGTGTCCAATACCACAAAGAAAACAACTCCACTTAGTTTGACAAACTCCACGATGCAAAGTAAATTATTCTTCTGGATGTGATCCTAAAAATAGCAGGGACCCGCTCTCTTTAGAGACAGCAGCAGTGACTCTGAGTGTGCTGTTTTAAGGGCACGAGTGTGTTTTGAAACACAGAGACTCTTCTGTGGTCTCGGGAAGGGGAAAAAATTGATTTTCCAGATCGCATGATAAATCATGGGACAAACAACATCAGAGCCGAAGCAGAGCCACTCCGAGCAGAAGCGCCCTCAGGGTGCGGGTCCGCCTCGCAGCCTCCTCCTGCCTCCTCTGCAAGGGCCAGCCGGTCTTTCCCCAGCTCGGCACTGTGTTTTTATTTCCTTTTGTGACCTCTCACCACAAATTAAAAGACAAGGACACGTTGGTGAAACAAAGATGCCAGAATTACTTCTGGCCTGTGGACCCTGCCTGGCAGGGGAGGGTTAAGCATTTGGTTCCCCTGGAGAGTAGGAGAGGTGGCCTCCTGATGAAAGCCACGGATGCACAGAGGAATCTGACTGCTCCATACCTTCCCAGAATGGAGGTTAAAAATGAGGGTGCCAGGATCAGGCACCCCAAGATCAAATCCTGCCCTCATCCCTTCCCAGAAGAAAGAGTTGGGCAAGCAAATGAATGCAAGCCTCAGTTTTCTCATCTGTAAAGTGGCCACAATAAGAGTACCTTTCTCTTAGAGTTGATGGGGAGAATCAATAAGAAATGCACTTGAAGCCTTTAGCACACAGTAAATGTGCACTTGAGGTTCCCTGTAGACTACACTCAAAACGGGGAGAGGAAAGAGAAGAGTTTCTTAATTTGGGGGGACTTGTGGGGGTGAGAATGTTCTGCTTCCTAGGACTGGCCTCAGCTCCCCAGCTGTGTTCACCCTGTGAAAAGTCATAAGCTGGCCAAGTCTGACTTTCTCACTTCATGATGTCTTTAAGTAAGAAGTTCACTCCAACGACAGCAGAATCCCCGGTACAAAGCTGGAATTGTTGGATCGCAGCCAAGGAACCCCCTCGGGGGCCTCCATGTAGTCCCTGTTCCACACTCTGTCCTGGCATTACAGGCTGCTGAGCTAGTTAGAAATATTACAAGCAGGCAGACAAGGCTGGGCCCTCAAAGGAGCCAGAGCAGAAGTGCAGACACCTTGAAGCCTTGGAAGAGACAATCACCTCCCACTGCGGGCCAGATCTCAAGACAAAAGGCAAAGCGAATACACCCACATCCTAAGGATCCACAGTCCAGATAGTTCTCTGTCACCCTGAGGAAGCCAGGAGTCGGCATCCCAGCGTCTACAGGAAGTCACTGCTCTAAGCACGCGGCTATGTGACTCACGCCCCCATTTGTCCCCTATTTAATCAGTTTTACCTGGCAGTTAATCTTACTGGTTAATCATAGTTCTGTCTGGTCTTATGCCCACCTCGTGAATGCCCCTGTTTTCCCCATCTTGGACCCATCTCACCCGTGGTTTAACTCTACAAAAGTCCCTAGAAAAGACAGAGTGTTTGGCAACCCACTCGGGACCCCTTCTACCTCTCAGACAGAAGCTTTCTTTCTCTCAATAAATACATTCTGCTCTTAACCTCCATCATTCCTAAAATTCATTCTTGGATTTTAGAGAACACGAGCTCCTGCAGGACATGTAATAGTTCAGGAGTTTCACTCCCCTGTATCACTGGGGCAGCGGTGGGGGAGGTCTGTGGGCACTGAGGAGGGACAGTGAGAGGCACCCAGAGAGGCTGGCACGAGACAGAGACCTCTGCAAACCTTCAGGCAGAGCTCCAGCCGTGCTGCTGAAAAACGGAGCTCAAGACCCCTGAACCGGCCCCTAAGAGCTGCAGGGTGCACGGCCCTAGCCTGGGACCAGCCAGGGACAGAGCGAGTCCTCTGCAGGCAGTGCGTCTCTGCTGAAGCCACACGCGGGCCAGATTCTGGGAGGAGCCCTGGGTCCCGCTCTCCTGCTCCTGCAGCGCACTCAGTGGGCCACCTGGTCTGGGGACCGCATGCTGTGGCCTTTGTCCTGGGCCACCTTCTGCAGAACGGGCAGCTCCCTTCCGCTGGTGCCTGAGCTCTTAGCTTCCTGCTGGCTGAACTGAACTGGGCAGAAGACAGCTCCTGGGGAGCTGGGAGGCTGGCCCTGTGGGAACAACCCTGCTCTTCTCCGGTGTTCCCTCCTAGCAGAACCGTCTGGAAGCTGACAACTGACCTTTAGGTCAAGGCTGGGAGAGGGCCGCTGCTCCTCTGTGCACAGGGCAGATCCGGGCCCTGTGTCAGAAGGGCAGATACAAGGAAAAGGCGGTTCATTGTCAGTACTGATGTGCAGGTTGGTTAATTCTTTCAAGATGCTGAACAGCCCTGCCTGGAGGCTGCGGTCATTGACTCTGTCACCAGCTTCTGGTCCTGCTGTCTGGAGCCATCTCTGGGACAGCCACTTGGGCTTCCTTGCTTGTGCAGACCGGTTACATAGTGCCAGGGTGGAGATTCTGCCTAGGAGGAGGGCGGGGAAGGGAGGGCGGGGAAATGCAGAGGGAAGGGATGCTGCCTGCCTGCCGGAGAGGCACTGCTGAGGTGACACTGCATGGGACAGACCTGCTGTCCATTAGGAGCTGTGTGGCTTTGATCCAGTCCCATTTGTAGGCTTAATTCTTCATCTGCGAAATGGGGACAGATACCCTTACTTTGCATGGTTTACTGCAAGGATTCAAAACAACATGAGTTGAGCGGGGTGGTGCGCTCCTGTAACCCCAGCACTTTGGGAGGCTGAGGCAGGAGGATCACAAATTCCAGCGCAGCCTGGGCAACTTAGCACCTTAGCAGGACTGTCTCAAAATAAATATTTTTGGAAAGGAGAGGGACTGTGGATGTATCTCAATGCAAAGGCCCTGAGATCCATCACTAGTACTGGAAAAAAAAAAGTAATAATGGACAGTGCCAGGCCCTGTGAGCGTGTTTGACCACACTAGCTGTCACCCTGCAGAGGATCATCAGCCGGACAAAAGCAGAAACGTCTCCAGGCGCCCAGGAGAAGCAGTATAGATTCTGCATGCTGCCTTGATTGCTGTGTGGCGTTGGGCCACCGGCTTAACCTTTCTGTACCTTGGTTTCCTCCTTTGAAAATGGGCTAACAAATACTTCCCTGGGAAGGGAGCAGAAGGGTTGGTAGAGGGTGCCTGACAGAGGACAGACCTTCATGAAACTGCGCCTTTGCCCACCTGCAAGTCTGGCTCTACCCAAAATCTGTTCTCTGCTCCAGGCAGGCAGCCTTTTCCTGCGGATCACCCAGGTGTTAAACCAGCAGTTCACACCCGCACTGCGGAGCCTGGCCTAGCTTGAAGGCTTCAACCCCACCGTCTGCCTTCCTGGGCTCCAGGCACTGTGAAGCCCTGGCCGGGTGGGAGTCAGGGAGGACAGAAAGACAGAAAGACAGGTGAAAAGGAGACAGAGCACCGAGGCTGTGGGGAAATCACAGCTCCGAGATGCGAGCCAAGTGCCTTTGCTCCCTCGGCCGGTTTAAAGATGCTGGACACCCATAAATTTGGCCTGTGTTTCTCTTCCAATGCCACAAACCCATAAATTCCAAAGACTTCTGCTCTCCAAGAAATAATGCTATCGATGAGAGAGCGGCTTTCTACACTTCAGACGCACACAGAGGGTTGCACTTGAGCCTTGCTGATAAAGCCAGCCCACTGAAGGACAGCCTGACCTTCAGGCAAAGGCCCAAGGTAAATGCTAAGTAACTCAAAAAGGCATCCCTCTTCCGGGTCCCTGAGACCACACAAATAGCCCCACGCCCAGACCTGTCACCCCCCTGTCAGGCACCCACATCCCTTCTCTATGGGTGCTTCCTGGATTCTGCCTGATGGACCAGCCTAGGCCTCTCCCCACAGTCGGGAATGCGCTTCTGTGGTGATACTTCCAGAATTTTCCAGGGGCATGGTGAGGTCCCATCTGCTCTTTAGGGGACCCCGTAAGACCCTGACCAGTGACAGGAGCTGGGCAATCCTCTGGCTTCTCGATTGGATGGCAGAGAAGCCACTGATCCGTGCGGTGTTGGCTTCTCTCCTCCCATGCGAGACTCTGGTTCAATCCCCAGCACTGCCAAACATACAAACCCAAAGAGGGAGAAAGGCCTGGTGCAAGGACGGGAGTTGGCCTGCAGACCCCCTGGACACCCTTGGATACCCCTCCAGGCCTCAGAGCCATCCTGCTCCCGCCTCACACACCTCAGTCACCCCCCTGCTCACACCAAGCCCCAAGTCCAAGCAGCTTGCACAGCCTGGTGCTCTGACCCGCAGAGCCAACCCCTTCAGGTTCACCTGCAGTCTCCCCTGGACTTGCCCCCCACCACCTCTCCGCTCATCACTGTCTTCCACTCCTCCTTCATGTGTCTCTGCCTGCCGCCCAGCCCAGCCCCTGAAGAAGCCACCCCCTCTCCATCTGGAAAACTACCCCTCCTCTGGCCCCAGGGACACCAGCCCCCTGGCTCGGACTCCCTGCCCCTCCCAGCCAGGGCTGGACGCTCCCCCTGAGTTCTCAGGGCTCCACAAATCTCCATTCACTCTTTCTCTGTGTACAAATCCGGCCTGAGGCCAGAGACCATGCAGGACGACCTGCCCCTGTGTCCCTGAGCCAGAAGGACAGATAGCAACAACAGCAGAGGCCCGGAGGGGTACAATGAAAGCCAGAGAGGAGCGGCTCAGCCTCCCGGAGCAGGGAACCTCCCCACAGATGAGCTGCTGGCTCAGGCACAAGCTAGCCAGGGAGAGCCGGGGAAGGAAGGCAGGAAGGGAAGAGAGCTCCGAGCTGGGCGAAGGCCAGGAAAGGCCAGGCGGGCAGGGCTGAGGGCTGCATGGCACCTGCTGAGAAGGAAGCATCACAGTCCAAGAGCAGGGTCCCAAGGGCTGTGGCCAGCCAGGAGAAAGACCTCACAGTCACCATTTGCAAAAGTCACTCTGGCTGAGGGGGACAATCAGACTTGGGGGAGGTGCAGAGGTAGGAGCTCAGAGTCTGCGAGACTCAGTGAGGTACAGGGATGTGTTTTGCTTTTTGTCTCTTCATGGGTTACAATCACAGGCTGGAGCTGTTGCAGCCATCCTGTGCCCATGAAGTAACCAGCTTAAGGATGAAAAACCCAACCCACTGAGGGAGGTGGGGCTGAAAGACAGTAGTCCTGGATCCACAGTGCACTACCGAGTAGCAAACCCTGGGTTGCTCTATCCTTTGATTTTCATTTCGCTGGTTTTTCTGTGTGTTTTATAGCACTAGGGATCAAACCCATCATCGATCCTTCTTGTCAGGAAAAGAATAACTGATCTGACAGTTTAAGGCCCTGTTGGTTGGGCTTTCATCTACTTGCAGGTAGCAGGCAGGTCTCTCTCCATGTATTCATATCCGGGCACCTTCATCTCCACGTCCTACACCTTCCTTAGGTGGCCTTCCCCTGGGCCACCCCTGCCTTGACTCTTGGGGTCTGAATGACAGAGCATCCGAGGGTGACTGGACCCATTCATTCCACTTCCACCCCTCAGGTCAGTCCCACCCTGAGCTACAGCCCACAGCTGGCATCCTGAACAGCGCCCAGCTCAGGGAAGCCCTGGGAGCGGGCAGGAGGAGGAGCCAGCTCTGCCCCCCGCCACCTGTCTTCCTCCTTGACTCTGTTTCTCCTTAGAATTCACCCTAATTATTTGTTGCTGCTTTTGTCTTCCCTTCCCATCCTCACCCACAAGGTCGGGACAGAAGTCAGGGACCTGCGTTGGTGCTGTGCTGTGCTATATTCCCAGGACGGGCTGAGTAACAGAGTGTGTCAGGGTCTCAGAACAGAGCACAAACCACCAAACCTCTAGGTCCTTTCTGATTTCAACATCAGCAATAAGGAAAATGTGCCTTCTAGAGGGAGCATGATTGACCTCTCAGAGCTGAAGGACGGCAGTAGATTCAACAGACCCACCGAACACCCAGCTCTGTGCTGACGCCAGGGAAAGGCACAGAGTGGGGTCGTCAGAGTCCCGGGCGCAGGGAGGTGAGGCGGGCAGTCCAGGGACTGGGCAGGTGAAAGCTGTGTGCCACAGGACTCCATCCTGTGGGTGAGCCTGTTTAACCATCCAGGCGCAAGGCTCCCGAGTTAAATAAACAACGTCTCAAGTATTTTAAAGACTGGTGAACTGATGCATGGCGCGGCGCAGAGAAGGCTCATCACAGCCTGGGTGGCATCTGCACAAGATCCAGTTCATCAGCCACTGTTTCCAAACCGAGCAGATTTATAGCACGCAATCAGATAAACAGACCGAGGTTTGCACAACTCTGGAAAACGTGAAGGATTCCACAAAGAGCAACCTCGCCCGCTGGCCTTCTCGGCCACTGAGCTGCTGACCTCGGAACTATTCAGTAAGCAGAGGTGGCACAGAGTGTCTGGTGTCTCGGGGTAGGAGTTCACGGGAGGCTTCCCGAGGCCACGTGTAAGGTCAGAGTCCGTGCAAAAGGGACATTGAAAAGCCACACTCTCCGCCTTCCCATCACTTTTTTGAAACACACGTCTACTCCAGGGCCCCGTTGGTTCCTTCTGGGTGGCCTCGCAGTGCCTGC